GAAATCAGAACAGCCGATCGGTTCTTCGTTTTTGTTTGGCCTTAATTTCTTTTTTTTTATGTCAGTCAGTAGTGCATCTGTTCTCGCTTTATTTGCGAAAAGATTTTTTGGGCTTTTTTTTATTGCGAGAAAGCGTTCAGACGTCTGTTTGTCTACGCTGTTCTCCATGGTCCTGTTTTTTCGTTAGAGTTATCGATTATCTCACGTATACTGTTGTAGATAAGCTAATCCTGAAGACAGTGATGTCAGGGATATTGATGGCATTTCAGCGAAATGACTCATCACCAATTCGTTCAATGGGATTTCGACCAGAAGGCACGTTGGCAGCTATTGTGTGGCCAGGGATTTTGATTGGAGTACTGTACACAGGACAATGGGTTCTGTTAACCCTTGATGGGCAGTTACGATCAATGTTTTGTAAGTGTTACTACTACTAGTTTTTGGTAATCGACTGGTTTATCTACGTACGAGGTGAATTAGCGAGTTCTTGCGGTATGTCTTGGTTTGTGAACTTGGAAAAATGGCTCTTGAAGGCTTTCCGCTTTTATGGCTCAAAAAACCAGTTGCTCACGTCAACTTTCATGAATGTAGTGTTTTCTGACAAGCACTGAACATTTGCAAAATGTATGCGTTCGGGGGGAATCGAACCCCCGTCGAATGCTTGGAAGGCATCCATGCTAACCATTACACCACGAACGCGTACCTGCTGAAACACAGCAGTCGTAGATAACAGGGAGGTGGGAACGCGTCAAGACAGAACGGCGTGTGGGAGCCGGTTGAGAATCAGCTGGCTGCAACAGCGACACCTGTTGTCGTTCGTTATTGGTTCTCCACAGTATATCGCCTGACAGCGATGCCTTTGAGGGGGAAATTTTGGTGAATTAGCTAATCAATAGCTGTACTCCTTCAGCCCTTCAAAATTACTGAATATTGTGATCTTTCATCATCAGACTGCTACGCGCATTACGGTTCACCACGACAAGTTCCCAAGACGCTAGCGCTGATCACACAAGCGTTCGTGGTGTAATGGTTAGCATGGAGCCTTCCAAGCATTCGACGGGGGTTCGATTCCCCCCGAACGCAGCTGTTTGCAAATTAGAAGCTACGCCTTTTGAACACCTTCAATATTGAAATTGCTTTACTTATGCATCACGGCTCTGTTATGAGAAGAGTCGATACCAGCTCTTACACGATTTGTAATAACTTGAGATAAATGGGCTGAAGGAGTACAGTTATTGATTAGCTAAGAGAAAAGTCGATATCTTTCAGATTAATCGAACGGCATCAGGGAGTTTTAGAAGGTTGTTATAGACCAAGCACCTCCGGAAGAGTTGCACATAGTAGAGCGTAACCTATTTGACCTTTGAAAGTCGTGGTGGACAGATTAAAACCCTGGGATAGTAATGGAAATTGAATATGTATGTCTTCGAGTAATAGTTCAATAATACCATCGTTGGATGAATTTTTATCACCAGCTCACTTCAGGATTCTTTTCTGGTAGATACCACTTCAATGCTTTCTTCCAAATCTGCTGGGGACATACGGCTTTGGGCAGGTCATATCCCAATCATAATAGAGCTATGATGCTTAAGAAAAAACCATTTTCGATAGTAAAGGTGTTCAAAAGCATACTTCAAGTTTGCAAAGGAATGCGTTCGGGGGGAATCGAACCCCCGTCGAATGCTTGGAAGGCATCCATGCTAACCATTACACCACGAACGCTTACGTGGTCGACGCCAACGTTTTGGAAAATCGTCGTGGTGAACCGTAATGCGTGTAGCCGTCTGATGATGAGAGATTACAACATTTTCGTCGTTTCATTATCCTTTCTCCGGTTTTCTTGCCTAACTTTCACTGTGAACTGATTTATCCATTTTTTAGCTGTGAGTGAATGGAAAGTGTCCTTACGGCAGCACACGTGGATTCGAGATGTTATAGTGGTTCGTTGACGTTCGAGTATTGAGCACTTTAGATTGCTTTTCATTTTTAGATCTTGTTCTGACGATCTGTTTATGAAAACACGCTTTCTTTCGCTAATATTATCAGAAAACAGTTGTGAGAAAGGTGGAGAAAGTTTAGGGACCAGTAACTGAAGAAATAACGTTTCGATGCTGTTGTGTCGCTTTGCTAAAAGATTGTGTATCACCAACAGTGGCAATTGTAGCCGGTCCATTACCTTTTGCATGTAGTCACCTTCACCATATTGGTGATGATCGACGTCGTGGCTATACTTGGTCACAAGCGGTTGCCAGAAGAGGTTAGGTTTTCTACTATTTTGTTACCATGGTTACAAATATTACATATGAGAATATTTTAATAATTTACAGTCTTTCAACTTGCGTACACTTATGTATTCGGAGCATATGCCACGTATTTGTTTCTGAACAGTGGCCACGCTCTTGCACCTATTGTTACCCATGCAGTATGCAATTGTATGGGATTGCCTCTTTTCAATGAAATAGGTAAGGGATTGTCTTTTTTGTATTTTTCTTTTTACCCTTTCATCCTTCGATTTGACTTCCCACTGCTCCCGAATTTCGTCTCTAATGACTTTTATAAGCTGTTCAGAATAGGAATTTTTTCATCTATTCGTCTGTCACATGAATCGAGACTTGCTGTAATTGCAAGACCACTTGGAATTTTTCTTTTTCTAGCCTTGGCATGCTTTCGAAACGGAGTGCACGTCGTTTAAAGGGGTTAAGAATTGTTTTCTTGAATTTAGTTCCTCCCAACGGGAGCATATCAGGCGATGAATTTTTCCACTATTGCTGGCCCTGTGCAATAGATCACCTCGGGAACGTTCCCAACCTCCAATTCTCGGTCAAATGATCGTCACTACTTCTTTTTTCGACTTCCGTTTCCTCGCTTGGTTTCTGGTGGCGGTGTTTATTCCAGCTTTTTTTCAAAATTCCTTTTTTTTCTTCTCAACAAGAAAGTGATAGAGGGTCTTGCATATCTGCTGTTATCGTGTGGTATCTTTTTTAACCATATCTTATAGTTTTCTTTCATATCTTATAGTTTTCTTTCATAGTATAAAAATATTTCTCGTTCTCGTTTATCTATGGATCCAGTCACCAATATTTGTTTCTTTCCACCGTGAGCCATGCAGCCACCTACATATGCCGTGGAAGTTTGCAAATTTACTATTGTTCTGATGTTAAGGATCGTTTTCCAAGCGATGGCAACGAGTTCTGCTCTGGACAGCGTACGCGTCAGGAATGTGTGGCTTTGTGATGCTTCTTGGGCCATTAACAAGGCCAGAACTCTACCAGAAGTGGTAATCGCTGACCGGACGGTTGAAAATAGAAGTGATTTTGGCCACTTCGATAGCTTCTGCTCAGCCCACAATCGTTAATTGTGACTTTACATTTCGGAATATACTCGCAGTAGAGTATCTAGTGAAATCCAGCCAAGATCTTTCCGGCCAGAGAGGCGGAACGGTAGTAGTCTTGCCGAGCATGAAAGCGGGATTCTTGATTCCAGTGGGTTTGCCCTATTGGTGTATCGAAAGGGAGGGGCTAAACAGTGGAGCGCGCAGAATGATCCGGTAATTCCATTCACACGCTCGACTTGATTACTACCTTTGATTTTTCTGTCATTCCCAGTAACGTAGGCATTCACCACTCGTGTTTACTCTGCTTGACATGGTCAGTTAGGAATAGGTCGAGATTCCCCATCTTTTATAGCTGTAGGTGTTCACCCAATGTAGGCTAACTAACATAATTCTTTCAAGTACTAGGACTAGTAACTTTGATCTGCGTTGCCCTTTTTGGCTCGGCCCCGAATTGACTTTGTTTTTTTTTTTTTGAGGTTCTCTTTCACTTTGTATCTGGTCTGTAAGCGTGTTTTTGGTATGTCTAATCTCTCAAACCAATTTTATTTCGTTTCGATTGGTTAATATTTGATTGCCCATTTATGGCTCAGTTAAGCTTGTTTGGCTTTACAATCTCTAATCCACAGCTTGTTTACATCGATCTGTATCTTTGTTTCAAATAGTAAACATCTTTGTTTACCAAATTTTTGACTCTTTTTTGTATAAATGTAACTGTAATTGTAATGCAGAATTGCTTTTGTAAACTAATGTGATCGATAGAGCGAAAAGGTCTAGTCCCTCTATCCGCCTTAATAGATCGTCTGTTCAACCGAAGTCTTTGATTGGAAAGCTTTGTAATGTACAAAGATGGCTACTTTCATACGTAAACCTGTACCATTGCTATGTGCTATGTAATCCGTATTGATTTTACGCCCTCCTAATCAATAATCTATGCCCAAAACACGGGCATTTTGTGAAAGTTTGGCTTTATCATTTGTTCTCGAATGCAGAGCTGATAAAGTGTTTTTTCGTCATGGACTTCCATTGGTGCCGTACATAAGTTGAAAATATCTGGGATAATTCCTATCTTTTTGAGTTTGTCCGTATTAATCGGAAGTGAAGCGCGCGGTTGCGAAGCGGTTGCTCGGTCTTTTCCGAAATAGCTGTTCTCCCTTCATCATGACTTACGCATAATTGCTTAAATTTATTAAGAGGTATTGATTAAATTGATATAGAAGAGAGCTGATTTAAGCGCGGACCAAATAGTATGGAAGTCGTATCAAGTTAAGATCTGTTCTAGGCGATCGCTCGCTTGATTGTTACGACTTTTGGACGTTATTCTCCATGACTTGATGGCTTCGTAGAGCTACCTAAATTTTTACGTGAGTATCGCTTGTTTATTTGAAGCGTTCTTTAAAATTTTTGTTTATTTTTGCTGATCGCGTTGGAGAGCTTCAACATGAACTCTGCGAACACGCACTCGAATTTGTATTCTGTGACCGTCAGAACACATCAAATACAATTTTTGAATTAGTTTTAAATATCCGGTCGTATTACGTTTCGGTGTTAATGACTTGTACCTTGTAGTGTGCCTTGGGGACGTTTTGGTGGCACTTTCTGAAAAAAAAATATTTCGATGTGTAAAAAGTAAGCTTGCCCTCTTAAGCAATTTCCTCGAATAGAACGAGGGGGTGTGGCGCAGTAGGATCGAAATTGCCGCGTCGCCGCAAGAGGAACACCGCGCGCGAAGAATAGCAGAATGCAGTGGCAGGTAAGAAATACTGGAACTAAAGAACTAACGGTAGAATCATGCCTAAAATAATGATCGCATATCGATATGAAGAACACTACAGCTGTAATAACGGCGAAGCGAATGGTCCGCGATAGCCGCGTGCGGCTAATCGATTACACAAAACCGATCCTACTGCCCATTTCCCGGAAAGGCACGTTATCCGAGAAACCAAAGGCGTGACACCGTCAAAGGGCAATGGGAGTCAAATAGCCACTATGAGGTTAGTACGAGCCTGAAGCCGGGAAAGAAGGCCGAACTGATTGAGCAAACTCCTTTAAATCCGGTACTTTTCAATAGTTTGACTGCTTGTCACTATTATGCGTCCTGAGGGGAAAGGAGCGATCGAAGGGTACCGGGATTGAATAAACTGGCTACTCGCTGTCATAAGATCCGTGTGAAGCACCGCGACCGCGTGCGACGGTGTAGTGGGGAATCATTCTGTCCGAAATCACTAACCATCTAACTTACCACTAATCTGTCCAGCTGACTTTTTGTTGTATCACAACCGATAATAAGGGAGATATGTGACCTTCCTCCTGGATCATCGAAGGCTACATGTTGAGGTTGCTTTCTCTCCATTTTAGGGTCAGTTAGGGCTTTTTTCTGCAATGGAGTAGAGATGATATGACATTACTGTTCAGCCAGGAACAATCTGAGTAGGGGCGAGGACATTTATTGTTAGTTTCTTACATCGGCAAAATTTTCACCTCCTTTTTCGATTTTTCACCACTATTTTTTACGTTGTGAACTTTGAAGCTGACAGACTCGTGTTTTTCCCATGATGGTGCTAGATTCCAGTATAGGAAAACCAACCCCCCCCCCCCCCCCCCCCCCCCCCTTCCCTTCCCACCTTCCTCCACTTTCCCGTGCACATATCGCATCTTCAGCCTCTTTCTAAACAAATCAAAAACCCACAACGGGCCTTTGTCCATGCCCAGCTTGCAACTTTTCGTTATAACGACGAAGAATATCTTTCACATCAGGTGCCAATGCCATTGACGGCTCTTGCATTTGGGATGCATTGAGAGCGGTCTGAAATTTGAACGAAATCAATGAAACCACAGCTTTCTTCTAAGATTTTGATGAGACGTTAGGCTTGCTGATGGATGTGTTGGTTTGCTGGTGCATTTTGACCCCATACTTACCCTTTACCTAGGCATGAGCATTCGTAGGGCGTTTCATTTAGTAGGCAGGCGAGGCCCTCGAGTCATTCTACTACTTTGCTTCGCCATGTTCGTGATCATCGCGTTTTTTGGAGTTTTTCTCGTGAGGACCATTCCGGTTTCATTGATTTCCAGCGAAATATTTTACCACGGTATGGGTACATACGTGTGTCCGAGGATGGGCGCGGCTAGTTGCGCGGCGAAACTCATGGTGAATAAAACGACACTAGCGCCTATTATTGGGGCACAAACTTGTAGTGGAGTAGTTTATTAGAGTCAGATGATCTTACTAGTCCACTCAAGTTCAAATTTGGGCCCCAATGGTGCTAAAGTCGTTCAAATTGCCACGAACTTCGCCGCGTTATTTGCCGCGCGCACCCTCGGACGCACGTAAGTTCCGTCCCCCATTCTACCATTATGAGTATGAAGTGCAGAGTGGCCGCTTTCATAGTCCGCGATACTGCCCGCGAGCGAGTGGTCTACTCGGCCGGCGGTCTCGACCAAGATTTAGTTGTAAACAAGGGGC